GCTTTACTTCAGAACATTTACAAATGCAGATATCACACGAAAACAAGTTGGTTTTACAATGTCCTTGATTAGGGAAAATAAAGTGTCACCATAATTAACAAACACTAACAGAACCCTTAGTTCCTTAAACCCCGCATATCTGAAGGTACATCAAAAAGGATCTTTCTAAACCTTCATACTAACTCAAGCTCCTATTTGATACTCATTCTAAATACAGTCTGGAGAGAACCAGCCCGGTTTCTCATTTACACGATAATTGTTAAGGAAGTATATTGTATTTATTTTAGTGACTAAAATATCATAATACAGGTGATAGGTTATATACGCTGGTATAAATAATAAATAATGAATTATGGGTGTTGTTAATTGGAAGCCAATCTTATTCAAATTACTTTACAATTTCTTTTTGTCTAAATTGTAATCCAAAAGGTTTTCTACCACAGGTTCGTTTTAATGACGTTATTTTTAACCAATCAAAGCGTGTCATGTAGAACCCGTTTCTTGATAACATGATGAATTGTGGGATAGTTAAACCCAGACTAGACTCTTTCGGTATCGCTATCCCATAATTCTCCATCGTTATCAAGAAATGGGAAATGGAACAAGTGACATCAGGGGTTCCAGTGAAAACATACCTCACATTGGGTGTTAACATCAGCCGAATTATCAAGTAATAACTTGACCACATCTAGATGACCTTTAAGAGAAGCCAAAATAAGAGCTGTATTCCCATCCTGAAAAATAATACACCACTTGAGAGAAAATTCTGAATGTATCTTATAGTTTTCATCTTCTTTACTGTATAATATTTTTCTCTGATTCTCAAAATTGATGAAGTATAAATACTTTGATATAAGAATTGAGGAATTGAAATAAAATGGACTTTAATATCCTACTGTTCTACTTCACATTGGTGTAGTGACAGACCATGCAGTGTGGAATGGAGGTAAGTGGCATTAGAATAATCATTTTCATTTTCTTTAATGTACAGAGCTACATCTTCACCTTAGTAACAACATTTACATCTGCATCTCTCTCTAACAATGTTTTTACAATATCTACGTGTCCTTCTTGACTGGCTATATACAGGGCTGTGAAACCATTCTGAAAACAAAATATATTGGAATGGAACTTTACTTCGGAACATTTACAAATACAGATATCACACAAAAACAAGTTGGTTTTACAATGGGTGAGGTCAAATCCCGTGTTAGTGTTAACATTGGTGTTAGTACCGAATTTGGACACTAAAACTGTAGTTGGATATTAACACAGAGTGTGTAACACGAGCTCACTATCGGTATGATTTCTTGAATGTTAAAGATCACACAGAATCGATCTGTCTTAATTAAAATTTCTAAAATATATTTGATGATTTGATATAGTATATTACGGCTTTATTTGAACGTATTCATTATTTCTCAACGCGGTTTATTTGGTGTTAGTCCGCAAGACTTTACCTCATACTGGTTTTCCGTTTTACCCCTGATATAAAAATTATCAACATGGTGTTAAGCATAGTATTAGCATGATTTCTCCGTCGTGTTAGTGTTAATATCGAAGATGCGATTTCAAGGGTTACCTGAACACATTACTTACATAATTATGTAATTTCATTTGGCAATCGGTTTTATTTTACAGTTTGACATTCGGTACTCAAATTCTAATCGATTCCCGTCTGAAATAAGCCTCAAAATGGATTTAGAAATGACGTTATTTTTAACCAATCAAAGCCTGTCATGTAGAACCCGTTTCTTGATAACATGATGAATTGTGGGATAGTTAAACCCAAAGTAGTACTATAAAACAGACTCTTTCGGTTTCGCTATCCCATAATTCTTCATTGTTATCAAGAAATGGGAAATGGAACAAATAACATCAGGGGTTCCAGTGAAAACATACCTTATTTTGGGTGTTAACATCAGCCGAATTATCAAGTAATAACTTGACCACATCTAGATGACCTTCTTGAAAAGCCAAATTAAGAGCTGTATTCCCTTTCTGAAAAATAATATACCACTTGAGAGAAAATGTCTGAATGTATCTTATAGTTTTCATCTTCTTTACTGCATAATATTTTTCTCTGATTCTCAAAATGGATGAAGTATAAGAACTTTGTTATAAGAATTGGGGAATTGAAATAAAATGGGCTCTAATATCCTACTGTTCTACTTCACATTGGTGTAGTGACAGACCATGCAGTGTGTAATGGAGGTAAGTGGCATTAGAATAATCATTTTCATTTTCTTTAATGTACAGAGCTACATCTTTACCTTAGTAACAACATTTACATCTGCATCTCTCTCTAACAATGTTTTTACAATATCTACATGTCCTGTTAGACTGACTATATGGAGGGCTGTGAAACCATCCTTAAAACAAAATATATTTGAATGGAACTTTACTTCGGAACATTTGCAAATACAGATATCAGACAAAAACAAGTTGGTTTTACAATGGGTGAGGTCAAATCCCGAGTTAGTGTTAACATTGGTGTTAGTACCGAATTTGGACACTAAAACTGTAGTTGGATATTAACACAGAGTGTGTAACACGAGCTCACTATCGGTATGGTTTCTGGAATGTTAAAGATCACACAGAACCGATCTGTATGGGTTTTTAGCCTTAATTAAAATTTCTAAAATATATTTGATGATTTGATATAGTATATTACGGCTTTATTTGAACGTATTCATTATTTCTCAACGCGGTTTATTTGGTGTTAGTCCGCAAGACTTGACCTCATACTGGTGTTCCGTTTTAGCCCTGATATAAAAATTATCAACATGGTGTTAAGCATAGTATTAACACGATTTCTCCGTCGTGTTAGTGTTAATATCGAAGATGCGATTTCAAGGGTTACCTGAACACATTATTTACATAATTATGTAATTTCCTTTGGCAATCGGTTTTATTTTACAGTTTGACATTCGGTACTCAAATTCTAATCGATTCCCGTCTGAAATAAGCCTCAAAATGGATTTAGAAATGACGTTATTTTTAACCAATCAAAGCGTGTCATGTAGAACCCGTTTCTTGATAACATGATGAACTGTGGGATAGTTAAACCCAAAGTAGAACTATATAATAGACTCTTTCGGTTTCGCTATCCCATAATTCTCCATCGTTATCAAGAAATGGGAAATGGAACAAGTGACATCAGGTGTTCCAGTGAAAACATACCTTATTTTGGGTGTTAACATCAGCCGAATTATCAAGTAATAACTTGACCACATCAAGATGACCTTCTTGAGAAGCCAAATTAAGAGCTGTATTCCCTTTCTGAAAAATAATATACCACTTGAGAGGAAATGTCTGAATGTATCTTATAGTTTTCATCTTCTTTACTGTATAATATTTTTCTCTGATTCTCAAAATTGATGAAGTATAAAAACTTTGATATAAGAATTGAGGAATTGAAATAAAATGGACTTTAATATCCTACTGTTCTACTTCACATTGGTGTAGTGACAGACCATGCAGTGTGTAATGGAGGTAAGTGGCATTAGCATAATCATTTTCATTTTCTTTAATGTACAGAGCTACATCTTTACCTTAGTAACAACATTTACATCTGCATCTCTCTCTAACAATGTTTTTACAATATCTACGTGTCCTTTGAGACTGGCTATATACAGGGCTGTGAAACCATCCTGAAAACAAAATATATTGGAATGGAATTTTACTTCAGAACATTTACAAATACAGATATCACACAAAAACAAGTTGGTTTTACAATGGGTGAGGTCAAATCCCGTGTTAGTGTTAACATTGGTGTTAGTACCGAATTTGGACACTAAAACTGTAGTTGGATATTAACACAGAGTGTGTAACACGAGCTAACTATCGTGTTAGTGTTAATATCGAAGATGCGATTTCATGAGTTACCTGAACACAGTATTTACATAATTATGTAATTTCCTTTGGCAATCGGTTTTATTTTACAGTTTGACATTCGGTACTCAAATTCTAATCGATTCCCGTCTGAAATAAGCCTCAAAATGGATTTAGAAATTCTGCGCTAACACTAATCTCTAGGGTATTAACACGAGCATGAGTTCAAGTTTAGTGTTGGTGTTACCAGCCATTTTATTTCATTTTAAATGTTTTTTTATACCGGTTGCTCAAGCTATTGCTGTACAAAATAGAGGCGACAATTTGGAAAGGCATCCTGCTACAAGTGCGGAACCGATTGAACGTCATATCCGGTTGAATCAACATGAATAAGATGAGTTATCGGCCGAGTATCGTGATTTTAGAGATGGAGACCCTGCAAGGAAACAAATGTGTGTTTCTCAAAAACGCATGGAAACATTTTTGGTATATCTGGCTTCAGGTGGTTATTACAGAAATGTTGGTTTTTCCAATGGCGTGGCTAAAACTACTACCTTGTTATACGTCCATGAGGTTGCCGATTGTTTCTTAAGCATTGCTCCAAGATTCATTAAACTACCACGCCCGGAGGAATACCCTGATTTAACAACAACTGTTAGAGATGTTGATGGTAATAACACAGATATCATACTCTATATCAACGCCTCGACCATGCATGAGATGCTTACCATTCTTGACACCTGATACCACTTTCATTATGAAATACTTCCTCATTTATAGATATATTTCCGCTTATGAAAAATTCATTAGCTGCTACCAATGTATTGCCAATATGATTTTATGGAATTTGATTTTTGTTTTGCGGTTCGGATCGTTGGTAGATTAGGTTTTATTATTGCTATTACTATGATAAAAACACAAAAACAATAAAGTTACGGTTAAGATATAGAAAGGCCTATGGATAGGCTTCCATTAGTTTTCATAGTTGGTATGTCCAAACGTAGCTTTGCACACAAGGAAAATTTCTCCAAGTGCGGTGATTTCAACGGCAAAACAATCGCTGAGCATTAGTCATTCTAGCCAAGAAGGGCACTTTCCAGTTGAGCGAATGGTCTGAAAGTGGCCTTCTGCGATCGGTCTCAACGCTTGGCGAATTCTGCTTCGCAATGATAGGAAGAGCCGACATCGAAGGATCAAAAAGCAACGTCGCTAAGAACGCTTGGCTGCCACAGGCCAGTTATCCCAGTGGTAACTTTTCTGACACCTCTTGCGGGAAGCAGTAAAAATAGAGCTCTCCCATCGTCGCCCCAAAGGGCGACACAAAAGGATCGATAGGCCTTGCTTTCACACGGATCCATCCTACTGAAAAGTATCCTCAAGCCAGCATTCGCCCTTTCGCTCTACCAAGGGTTTCTCTCCCTTTTGAAGCTGGACTGGATTTGAAAAGAATTCACAACTGACTTCCCCGCCCTAGCGGAGAACCGGTTCCCACAAAACACCCCGCCAGCCTAAACCGCCCTAAGCACTGGGGACTCCTCGCTAAGCACCTTGCGCTCGCCAACGCCGCCCTAAATGCGTCCGCTCTCGTGGTCCCTTCGAGTGAGGTGAACGAACAAAACAATGCAAGAACAATTTTTTAGAAATATTGTTTATATGGTGTTAATGAAAATGTAATATTAGATTCGCGTAACACCAGACATACAATATTAACACGAAGAATGAATTCAAATGTCGTGTTATGTGTTGGTGTAACACGGAACACTAACACGAAATTTGACCTCATCCTTTGATTATAGAAAATAAAGTGTCACTAAATTCACAAACAAGAACCTATCTTAGTTCCCTAACCCCCGCATATCTAAAGGTTTTTCATTCACACGATAGTTAATAAGGAAGTATTTTGTATTTATTTTAGTTTCTTATGTCAGACTAAAATATCACGATACAGGTGATAGGTTATATACGCTGGTATAAATAATAAATAATGAATTATGGGTGTTGTTAATTGGAAGCCAATCTTATTCAAATTACTTTACAATTTTCTTTTTGTCTAAATTGTAATCCAAAAGGTTTTTTACCACAGGTTCGTTCTAATGACTTTATTTTTAACCAATCAAAGCGTGTCATGTAGAACCCGTTTCTTGATAACATGATGAATTGTGGGATAGTTAGACCGAAGTAGTACTATATAACAGACTCTTTCAGTTTCCATATCCCATAATACTCTATCGTAATCAAGAAATGGGAAATGGAAGAAATGACATCAGGTGTACCAGTGAAAACATACCTTATTTTGGGTGTTAACATCAGCCGAATTATCAAGTAGTAACTTGACCACATCTAGATGACCTTCTTGAGAAGCCATTCTTAAAGCTGTAACACCTTTCTGAAAAATGAGAGAAAATGTCTGAATGTAGAATGTTCCTTATACATGTAGTTATTTACTGTATAATATTTTCCCCTGATTCCTAAAATAGATGAGGTATAACAACTTTGTACAGAACTCATTTTGTTGTCATATCTATATGAGTACCCACTCTTTCTTTATTAGACCTAAACTATACAGAGCTACATCTTTACCTTAGTTACATTATTTATATTAGCTCCTCTCTCTAACAATGTTTTTACAATATCTACAAGTCCATCTTGACTGGCTCTATGTAGGGCTGTTACACCATCCTGAAAAATAGATTGGAATGGAGCTTTACTTCGGAACATTTACAAATACAGATATCACACGAAAACATTTTGTTTTTACAATGTCTTTGATTAGGGAAAATAAAGTGTCACTATAATTAACAAACACTAACAGAACCCTTAGTTCCTTAAACCCCGCATATCTGAAGGTACATCAAAAAGGATCTTTCTAAACCTTCATACTAACTTAAGCTCCTATTTGATCCTCATTCTAAATATAGTCTAGAGAGAAACAACCCCGTTTTACATTCACAAGATAGTTGGTAAGAAAGTATTTTGTAATTATTTTAGTTTCTTATGACGGACTAAAATATCATAATACAGGTGATAGGTTATATATCTGGTATAAATAATGAATAATGAATTATGGGTGTTGTTGAGTGGAAGCCAATCTTATTAAAATTACTCTACAATTTCTTTTCCTTTCTTGTTTTCTGATATTTTTTGGTCTAAATTATAATCTAAATGGTTTTCTACTACAGGTTCGTTCTAATGATTTTATTTTCAACCAATCAAAGCGTGTCATGTAGAACCCGTTTCTTAATAACAGGATGAATTGTGGGATAGTTAAACCCAAAGTAGTACTATATAACAGACTCTTTCGGTTTTGCTATCCAATAATTCTCTATCGTTATCAAGAAGTGGAACAAGTGACATCAGGTGTTCCAGTGAAAACATACCTCACATTGGGTGTTAACATCAGCTGAATTATCAAGTAATAACTTGATCACATCTAGATGACCTTGAAGAGAAGCCAAATTAAGAGCTGTATTCCCATCCTGAAAAATAATACACCACTTGAGAGAAAATGTCTGAATGTATCTTATAGTTTTCATCTTCTTTACTGTATAATATTTTCCCCTGATTTTCAAAATGGATGGATTATAACAACTTTAATGGGCGAAATGGGTAGGGACAAAATTGAGGAATTGTACCGAACCCAAGTTTACTGTTATGTGTCTCTGTGTTAGACCTAAAAGATACCGAGCTACATCTTAACCTTAGTTATAGCATTTATATTAGCATCTCTATCTAACAATGTTTTTGCAATATCAACATGTCCTGCATCACTGGCATCATGCAGGGCTGTGAAACCATTCTGAAAACAAAATAGATTGGAATAGAGCTTAACTTCAGAACATTTACAATATAGTTAGCCAAATTATATAGTAATAATCACATCAAGATGACCTTCTTGTGAAGCCAAACTGTAAAGCTGTATACCCTTTCTGAAAAATAATATACCACTTGTAGAGAAAATGTCTGAATGTATCTTATAATTTTCTTCTTCTTTGGTGTATAATTTCCCTTATTCTCAAAATAGATGGAGTATAATAACTTTGATAAAAGAATTGGGTAATTGAAATAAAATAGACTTTAATATCCTAATGTTCTACTTTACATTAGTGTAGTGACAGGCCATGCAGTGTGGAATGGAGGTTAGTGACATTGGCCATTTTCTCATTAGTCCTCATAAATAGAACAAACATACCGAATGAATTGTAAAATGTATACTCCATAAGCTGGTGATTGAGGTATGTTACTACACATGAATGGAAAGTTTACTATGGGAAACTTAAAGTCGTCACGTTTGTCATATAGTCGGACACAAAAACCGTGATTTTTTAAAAAACAACTATAGTTCAAAAACAACTATAAAGATCTTCACATGCATTCACATCTACACGAGTATTTATTTTTGCTAGATCTAAAAGATACAAAACAACATCTTTACCTTAGAAACAGCATTTATATTAGCACCTCTCTCTAACAATGCTTTTACAATAT